GTACTAATGCCTCAAACCCCATTAGTACCGGTTCGTGGCACGAACCGGGACTAAAGGGTTTTCGTGGCACGAACCGGGACTAAAAAGGTCTAACCCTTTAGTCCCGGTTGGTGCCACGAACCGGGACTAATGGGCATCGCACCCTTTAGTCCCGGTTCGTGGCACCAACCGGGACTAAAAGGTCCAGACGAACCGGGACAAATGGCCCACGTGGCCCCTGAGCGCACGAACCGGGACTAATGCGCCCATTAGTCCCGGTTCTGGACTGAACCGGGACTAATGGGCTAACCCGGGGTGGACCAAAGCCCTCTTTTCTACTAGTGGGCAACTGTTGCCGTCTTCCACCTATTCATCTTCAGAATAGGGTCGACATCACCATGACGCCAGACAACGCCGTCCTCCTGCGCGAGTCCGTAAACCCGCATCGGACGCCAAGACACCACTGCGCCATGCCGTTGAGATCCGTCGTCATCGATGCAGAAGATGAAACCCCACTCCGCCTCTGGGCCCTTCCAGTCAGTACCTGGCCCAAACGATGCCCCCAAGAGGGAGAACGGCATCGAATTTGCCATCAGCGTCCGATCCGGGGAGACCCAGATCTAGCGTTTCCCCCGGAGCAGCCTGAGGGAGATGATGTTGCCTGCAACGACGATGCCTCAACCAGGACATGACGTCAATGACGTCGCCATCGTTCGTCAAGACCGAAGTCAACGCGATTTTCCCCGGTAGTCGCGCCATCCCGACCCAGTAGTTGACTGGAACCGCGCGTTGCCTCGCCAAGTAGACGCACGCAGCCGCTGGAACACCGAGGACCACCACTGCAGCCCCAATCCACCATCGTTGTCTGTCACTGCTACCCCGAAGACAACACTAGCAGGCCGCCGTCGCCGTCCAAAGCCCACGCTGCCTGGTGCTTGGGACCACGGATCTGGGCCAGATCACCGCCGCTGCCAAGACCCAGCACACCCCACCATCGGAGTCCACATCCGCGTCAGCCGCCTCCCAACATAGCTGCTAGGAAGCTGGATCGCCGCTGCGGGAACCTCCGCATCGCGACGCCCTTGCCCGTCAAATCCGGCCCACATCGGATCCACATGCTAGGGGGCGGAAGAGCCTTGCCGCCACCGGTGCTGCCCGGGCTTTGCCCTCCGGCGGCGTCATGAGAAGGGAAGAGTGGGAGGAGGGGGCGACTCGGGAGGGGCGCTTGATCGAGACTGAAGAAAAATATGGAGGTGGATCACAAGAAGGTCGTTTCCAAAAATATATAGCGGTTTGGAGGTGAATGAAGCAAAGGTTGTGCTCTAATATGAGGAAAGAGATGGATTGAGTAACATAGCTAGTTACTCATAATATGGGTAACATCACACATATCAAGACAGAATAAGTTTATAACCTAATAAATAAAGTCTTGTATGACACCACATATATGTTACTCCCTAGTATAGAGATAGTAATATAGACTAATAAAATATGCATTTTACTAGTCTAAATTACTCGGATTCAATTTGAAGAGAAGACGGAGATAGTGCGAGTGGAAGGACGAAGGGGAGACGTGTGTGACATGGAGTTTGTAGACCGTAGTCGTCTCAGTTCTCGGTGTACAACTATCAAATTGCATAGTAAGTGCTTTTTCACTAGTACTATTAATGCAAATTATCATTTGATTAACAATTAGTACTGGAGTAGAAACCATCCATCCTAGTATTGATGGTATAGGAGGAGAGAAAGCATACACGTTGTATTTCTACTCTCATATGTGGTATGTCAGTTATAATGCTGTTGTTGGTTTATATTCTTTCAACGTGTTATGCTGCCGAAATTTCTAGTGAAAATTCACCTGACTTGTCGTAAATTTGGCCTTGTTTGTCCCAAAATCATAACTATGAGGTCTTGCCCGCAAAGGCCTTTTTTGTAACAAAATCATAACTATGGGGTCTTGCCTGCAAAGTTTTAAGGTCTTGATTGCAAATTGTCAGTAAGAGGCCCAAGTGTTCTACAGATGAACCACACTCAGTCGAAGAGGCTAAATGGAGAAAAGCCATGGAAAAAGAGTAGAGGGCTTTGAGGGAAAATGAGAGTTGGCACTTGGTTCCATTTGGTCAAGGTAAAATTTAATAGATTGTAAGTGGGTTTACAAAGTTTAAAAAAAAAGGCTGATGGCACTATTGATCGATACAAGGAGTAACAAAAGGTTTTTAACAACGATATTGAGATAGATTTTCATTTTGTGAGAGAACATGTTGCTAATAGGAAATTGGATATCTGGTTCATTCATTCAAATCAGATTGCAGATGGTTTCACAAAGGCATTGCCTACCAAAAGTTTTGAAGAGTTCAAGCCACGTTGAGAATAAGAGGGCATGCTGAAGATATATTCACCCGTAGCTTATCTCTAGGCGTCATATATCTTTCTATTATCATTGTAATCTTGTAGGTAGTTTGATAGATCCTATCTCTACCTCCCTTTTTCCCAAATGGTAGTCTAACGGAATTGTGTGCGCATCCACGGGATAAGCCCCGTCGAATCATATATACACGTGGCCCTCCAACAAGGGTAATACGCGAGGAATGCTACACACACGGGCATATAATCACGGACTATTACGGGATGCTTAATTGGGTTACTTTGATTGGATGGAAATCAGGTTGAGGGCCTACCTCCTGAAAATCAAGGGGAGAGATGATTAGTTATAGAAGGAGACCCCGTAAACCCTCCGTAATAGACCATGCATTTAGAATTTTTGGATAATGCGCTTCCTCGTATGAAAGTTTTAAAAGGTATGGTTTAATCTCAGCTGTCATTGTGTTTAGTGGGTTGTAGCC